CTTTAGAACATTATTATTACAAAATAGGACAATAAAACATCTTCAAATTTTTCAAAAGGGAACATATGCCAATTACTTAAATACTCATAGAAAGTAAAAAATCAGGTGACAGATACATTGAGAATAGCCTAATATAAAAAAATTGATGACATAGATACTCAAATCAGGGCTGAGGTTGTGGCTCAGTGGCAGAATGTTTGCCTGCCATGTTTGATGCCCTGGGTTCTATCCTCAGCACCACAGGTAAATAAAATAAAGATCCATTGGCAAGTGCAAAAATATGTATTTTAAAAAAAGATACTGAAGTTATCATAAAGAATAAACTCTGAAACCTCTTTCTAAATGTAATGAAATTGGACTGGCCAAGTATTAAAATAACCTGCCATTTTAACAGGACTATAGGAAAAGAGATCATCTGTATTTTTATTTTTAATTTTTGTGGTGCTGAGGATTGACGTAGGCAAGCTATCTACCCCAGATTACAACCTCATCTTTTAAAATTTTGGGACAGAATCTTACTAACTTGTCCAGGTAGGCCCTGAATTTGTGATCCTCTTGCCTTACCTCCTGTGTAGCTGGTATTACAGGCCTGAGCCACCATGCCTGGCAGAGATTTTCTTCACTGCATATTGAATGGAAAACTCTCTTAACTTTAATTTTTATTTTTAAAAAATATTTGTTTTTTAGTTGTAGTTGGACACAATATCTTTATTTTATTTATTAATTTTTATGTGGTGCTTAGGATCAAACCCAGGGCCTCGCACATGCTAGGAGAGAGCTCTACTGTTCAGCCACAATCCCAGCCCCTTCTTTTAACTTTTAAAAAGGAAAAAATTTAAAAATGATAAGATAATTTTCAAAGATTGTCTGATATTCCATTATATTTTGTTCAGTACATTCTTTCACTTTAGGATATCACAGAAATTTCATTGTTAAGAAGTACAAGGTTTGGGCTGGGATTGTGGCTCAGTGGTAGAGTGCTCGCCTAGCACATGTGAGGCCCCGGGTTCGATCCTCAGCACCACATAAAAATAAATAAAATAAAGATATTGTGTCCAACTACAACTAAAAAATATTAGAAAAAAAAGCACAAGGTTTGATGACCTTTTGAGACAAAAAAAAAAAATTCCCTTTATATGCAAGGATAAAAAGTCAAAATAGGATGCTAAAGCATTTGCTTAACATGCACAAGGCCCTGGGTTCAACTCTCAGCACCACCAACGAACAAAAACTCAAAAATATTCTTCCATAGTTTAATGAGTAGACAACAAAAGACAGTTGATGTTAATGTTGATACACCCTCAGCAAAAAGCAATATGCTAGGAATTTTCCTCTCACTTTGCTCAAAGATGTTCTTGCCCACATGGCTGTAAACTAGTGGGGTTTCCACCAGCTGTGGCCAATCTTACATTTTCCAACTAGATGTCACTGTAACATTCCTGGAATATGAGATCTGGACAATTAAAGATGAAATGTAGAGAGTTCAGAGAATTTTTAGAAATTTAGGTTTTTGTTTTAAAGTTATTCTCATTGTTTACTTAGTTAACAAGACTAAACCAAATTATCACTGAAAAAAATGTGAGTAAAGTGGCTCATACATAAAATGTATCTTTTTTCAAATTTAACTCATCTTTTAACTTAACAATCTCTCACTACTGATCTATTTGCACAGCCTGGATTTTCATTTCTTTGTGAGAATGAAATATATAGATATTTATAACTGAATAACACTTAGCTTAATTTTGTACAATTAAACTTTAGTTATATTATCCAAACAATAAAATTTCAAGAAAATAAAAGACAACATTATTATAATTAAACATCTCATTAAGCCAATTTTGTCAGGCTATGATATCTAATAGAAATAATTCAATCTTGATAAATTTTGGAATTTGGGTCTTTAATTTAGGGACTTCTTTTCTGGTTATTATCAAGTAGTTAGACAAATGGTAAAAAGATAAGATCTAGTTTTTGAAAATTCTTTTAAAATATGTACAACTGTACTATTTACTCTCATTTCAGATGTGATCAAAGTATTACATTTACTGGATTTTTTTCCTATTATAAACTTCTCAAACACATTCTATGGAGCATAAATGCTAATATTCTTTATTTATTGACTTTCTGTTTTTTTAGAAGAAGCATAGAAAATAGACCTTTTAAGAATTCAGATGCTATGGTGACAGCTCAGACTAACCTAATGCAGTATCCCAGTGCTTCCTGCACTGCTGATGCCAGGAGGACCTCTACTATGCACAAACATGGGGGCTTCACAAAGCTACTGGATACAAGAAGCTTGTGAAAATAAAGCCCAGAATTACTCATACCTAGATCAAGCTGCTAATGTCTCTCTTTCATTTTTGTACCAGGGACTGAACCCAGGAGTGCTCAACCACTGGGCCATATCCCCAATCCTTTTCTTTTTTATTTGAGACAGGGTCTCACTAAGTTGCTGAGGCTGGCTTTGAATTCATGATCCTCCTCCCTCAGCATCCTGAGTCACTGGGATTACAACTGTGTGCCACTGTGCTCTCCTACTGTCTCTTAACATGTAGAAACACCATGCATCAACATGCACCCCCTGAGAAATTGATATTGACTTGAGAAATAGAAATGCCAGATCCTGTCCAAAACTGGACAAGAAATAAGGGTTGTTATTGTTACAGTTAATATTTATTATTAGCCTTCTGAAACCTAAAGTACATTCAGATACTATTTCTTATAAAAGACTATTATAACAGATGCTGAGGAAAATCAGAAGTAAAATTAAGGTTTGATGCCTTTCCAACCCCTTTAGAGAAAAATATCTGAGTAGGTGGGTGGGTAGGAAACCAGAGCGCTCACCTCACAGATAAAATTCACTTAATGACTAGTTGGGGTCTCATTTTCATCTGCTTTGTTATGCAAATAGCCCAATAATTTTAATTACCAACATTAGTGTTTATGTCCTATTTGTTTTTAATTTAATTTGTTTATTACAGAAATAATATACATTAAAAATTGATAAACTTATAAAAGCAATTTTAGCATATCTATAAGGGCTCCAAGTCAGTCTGTTTACTAGACCTAATTTGTTTTTAAAGGTGTTTGAGCTGGGTGGGGTGGTATATGCCTGTAAAGTCCAGTGACATGGGAGGCTGAGGCAGGAGGATCACAAGTGTAAGGTGAGTCTCAGAAACTCAGCAAGGCCCTAAGCAACTTAGTGAGACTGTCTCAGAATAAAAAACAAAAGAGCTGGAGATGYAGCTTAGTGGCAGGAGTTTCCTGAGTTCAATACTCAACACCACCCTCCCTCAAAAAAAAAAAAAAAAAGTTGAATTTTTATGTTATTTGTGAAATAAAGGTAGGGTTAAAAAACCATCTTAAGTAGTTTTTAATCTTCTGTTGTCAAAATCTGATATATTAGCAGCTGCACACACCTGTAGTATCAGCCACTTTCGAGGACGAGGCAGAAGGATTACTTGAGCCCAGGGGTTAGAGGCCCAGGGCGGTAACATAGCAAGACCCTATCTTTTAAAAAAAAATAAGGGCTTGATCCATTAACCAGGCTGCTTAGACTGAAATCCCTCAATGCATTCTATTCACATGGCTCTCTCCATTATTACTAATTCTTGCTGCTTTATGCTCTTCCTAGGTAGAAGCACTCAACTATGTTCAGACTTAGGAACATAATGTAAAAAACAACAACGAAAAGCCACTTCTGCACAATGCACAGTGTTGTTTCTGTATATGTCCTAATGTCTTTCTTCAAGAATAATTTCGGAACTAGGTCCTCTTTCTTTTAAAAGAGGAAGGGTTAAAAAACTAAAGACATGAATATAGTTTCTGAAGTCCTAACAAACTTGATTGAATGTTTCTTATTTGTACTTGATATACAGAATTAAATGAAACCTGAACTTCCAAATACAGAGTATATGAAATAATATCCTTCTATTAGGTGACCTGTCTAAAAACAAACAAACAAAAAAACCCTGATTTAATTTGAGAAATTTTTGCTTTTAAAAAATGTGCTATGGTGCAAAAAAAAAAAAAAAAAAAAAAAAAAAAAAAAAAAAAGAGGGGGGAGGGGAAGTCAAATACAATTTGGGACCAAATACTTATACAAGTTAATGTGGAAAAAGTTAAACAGAAGGCATTTCATTTTCAAATGAATGCTANTATACAGAATTAAATGAAACCTGAACTTCCAAATACAGAGTATATGAAATAATATCCTTCTATTAGGTGACCTGTCTAAAAACAAACAAACAAAAGGCAGGAGGATTATAAGTGTAAGGTCAGCCTGGGCAACTTAGTGACACTATGAAAAAAAAAAAAAAAAAAAAAAAAAAAAAAAAAAAAAGGCTGGAGGGGAAGTCAAATACAATTTGGGACCAAATACTTATACAAGTTAATGTGGAAAAAGTTAAACAGAAGGCATTTCATTTTCAAATGAATGCTATCTTGCATTTATATAGCACCTTACAGAGATAAAAGTGCTTTACAATGATTACTTGACAGTCATTCATCAAGGTAAAAAAATGTGGTTTATAATGTAAGCACTTTGAGGCAACCAAATATCCAAGAAAACATATTCAGTAACAAATTCCTGGACTAGTAGTTAGATTTAAGAAAAAATGTAAAGAGACCTGTGATAATATTACATACAAGAAGTCACTTACTGATCTTAATGAATGGTATTTAAGATGTTAAGTATTAGAAATTATTGAGAAACATAAGAGTTTATATAAAGGAAGAAGTAACACAAACGAGGCACAAGTCAACAAACTGCCCAGAAGGTAAGGCTACGTATTACTTTTAAGTATATGAAAAATAAATCTTTTAGATATGGAGAGCAATTGAGAGTATAAAGTCAAGCAATGGTTAGAATCTGATCCTAAAATATTTCAAAGCAAGAAAAAAATAATATACTGCTGAATTTCTTTTCTTCTGTTAATCTCTCCCAAAATAACCTCACCAATGCATTCATTTCTGCCAGCAAAGAAGATAGCAGGAAATAATGAAATTTTTACATATTTAAAAATTGTCTCCAAATCTTAGAACAAATTCAATTTCCTATAAAACAATGTGAAAACTCATTTTTCTCTTTTAATTCTGCCAGGTGCCTCAAGTAAGATCTGATTAGCACCTCTGCCAATGTATAAGTCTTTGCAAAAAGTGCACTTGCCAACTATTTTGTGTAGTAAATATGCAAGTTATTTGAAGTGCATTTGGAAAASAATTGAAAACACAGATTAATACATCATAAAAAGATTAATTCCCTTTAAACAAAGACATTCTTATAAAGCATGGTAACACATAGGCACAATAAAGAATATAAATTGTATATCAATTATTGGAAGAAAATCTAATTCATACAAAGCCTACACCATTGGGGAAGAGGACATTTTCATACAAAGAAAAGAATTACACTATTATACAACACTTTTAATTGGACATTTATAAATTTTTGGCACATTAAAAGGAACTTAAAAGACTACCAAATAAAGGACAAAGAAACTAAAACAAAGATCTAAGAGAGGAAAAGTCCTCAAATGACAAACACTAAGTATTGACTTAGAAGGAAAACAAAAAGTAAGCTGGCTGAATTTCCTGAAATGTCGTTATATGTAACAGAAGTATGCTTTCAATGCAGGTTGCTTTTTATTTCTAATGATAAGACTTTTCTACCTTGCTGTGGCTGGTTGAACATGGCCTGGATAAGATCTTCTTGTGCTGGTTGCTTGTCTTTGCCTAGCTAGAAATGACTGCCCTGAACCTGTACTAGCTAGTCTATCTTCAGCCGCCTTTTTGTGCAGAGTCATTCCCTATAACATAAAAAAAAAAAAAAAAACCATAATAATCAATGAAAAAATATTGGAATATACTCTCACATATACACAAAATTTCATCATGCAGAATTTATTACATTGCAATATAAAGAATTAGGAAGATTAATTTTACTCAGATTAAAAATCTCACAGAGGCATTTTAGTTCTCACAATTAAGTAGAAATCTTCTTTTGGAAAAATTAAGGCTTAATTTTCTGAATTTATAATTACCAAAACAATAGAGAAGACAAATTTTTGGAATATATTCCCCATATTCCCTTTCAAATTAGAGTGATTTTCCAAGAAAAAAAGTACAATTGATTAGAAGCAGTTGATTCACATCGGTTATGGAAATCACACAGCTTTTATAGAAAGGAAAAACATAGATGCAYTTATGTCTTGAAATGGAAAGGCACACTAGGCATTATACATACCACCAAGCTGTTTTTCTTCACTTCAAAGCAGATGTGTATCCCCAAAACAAATTAAGAAAAGTTCCTGACAGCCAAAATAGAGGGCTCAACCAAGAGTAAGGGAGTTTCTCTTGAAGACAGAAGTATCACCTACTACTTTAGAGGAGAGAGAGAAGGCACAATCGCCTGGCTCAAAGCACCTTAAAAAGGAGGGAGGAGACCTCCAGAATGCTCCCATAATGAGAAATAATAACAATGATGATAATAGTACTACTTTACTAATGGCAGATCTTCATTAATAAAAATAGGAAAAAAGCAGTGTTGGTATAATTTTTATAAACTGACTATAATATGGACGTTTCACATGGGCCTGCAAACGTGAAAAACTTGGGATCTCTTCCTCCATTTTGCATCTGCCTCCTTTGCTTTGAATAAGTCCTCTTGGATTTCAGAAATGACAGGCATGATTAATAAACACCTTGTGATGAATCAAACTATCCCCCAGATAACAGCAACTTTCTTATTGCCACAAATAACGTCCCACCTGACCACTCCTGAGGTAATGATCAATCAGATCACCACTTCACCAAGACTACTTGTGGACTATGCATACTATTTGTCCTCTTGGTCTATATAGTTTAAAAGTTCAAGTCAGTACCCACCAAAGACAGAACTAGAAATATTTCCCTTATCTTCCTGGGCTTAAAGTTCCTTTCCTATTTTTCACTATTCTTTTTCCATTTGGTTAGGACCTTCAGAGTCAGGCCTCTGGCATAGGACTCTAATAACAAAATGAAGAACCCCAGCCAAAAAACCTTAAGAACAAAGAGCTGTTGGTTAATCTTACCAATGATTAGATATAGGAAAACTAATAGGAATAAGTAGTTTGACAACAAGGAAGAAATAACAATGCACAGAAGACTAGAAGATAAGTTTTCCTATTACTAGTTTAGCTTCTAGGAAAAATGCTGATTGTGGCTTTGCATTTTAAATATAATTTTAGTCTATGCTATATACCCAAACATACAGCACATTTTCCCAKTGAAAGACACACACACACACACACACACACACACACACACACACTCCACATTTTTAAACTCAACTTGAAATCAAAGCATTTAAAAATTTGAATAAAATTGACAAGATCTATTGACAATCTTTAATTGATTAATTTTGGCTACATATGCTTAGTTACACTTTATTTAAAATACTCTAAAATTTTCACTTTCACATTTCAAGCAATTTATTCAAATTCTTCACACATATTGTAGACCTCAGTATCCATCACAAAGTTATTGAGTTACTTAATACCAGCACTCACCATCTTCATTTCCATTTAAGTTGCCTTAGATGCACGACTTTCTGAATATAAGTATGATGCTGTTACTGGTTATTATATAACTTTGTTAACTCTATTTGGAGTTCTCTTTTATTCTCTGAAGAGTTAAAAAAAAACCTAGGCCTATTCTTTAGTGCCATGTCACAGATTAAATAAATCTGGGTCAATAAGAAACAATATGTGGAGTTGCAAAAATCAATTATAATTATGAAATTACTAATGAGCATTGAGGTGCAGAGCTACAAAATTGAGAATATTAACTAAGATTCAGAGAACACAAAGAGACAGAACAGTGAAAGTTAGGATTAATTCCCAGAGAATCTGCTTATTGTTTTTGTTTTTTGTGATATTGAGGATTGGACACAGGGCCTTACACAAGCAGTCTACCACTGAGCTATATTTCTAAACCTTTTGTTTTTACTGTTATTATTTTGGTACCAGGGATTGAACCCAGGGGTACTTTACCAATGGGCTACATTCCCAGTTCTTTTTCTTTTGAGACAGGGTCCTGCTAAATTGTTAAAAGTCTTGCTGAATTGCTCAGGCTAGCCTTGAATTTGAGATCCTCCTGCCTTAGCTTCCTAGGGTGCTGAATTACAGGCATGTGCCATTATGCTCAGCTCTAGCCCTTTTAATTTAATTTTGAGATAGGGTTCCCAAYCTGACCTTGAACTTGGGATCCTCTTGTCTCAGCCTCCCAAATAGCTGAGATTATAGGTGTGAGCCACTACCTAGCTTTTTTGTTGTTGTTATTTTTTGGTACTGGGGACAGAACCCAAGGCCACTCAACCACTGAGCCACATTCTCAGCCCTTCTAACTACTTTTTTAAAATTTACATTTTGAGGGATCTATATTTGTTAATAATGATATTCTAAATCCAAAATGATTTATTTGTATTCTTTTTTTCTGTTGTTGTTATTCTGGGAATTTAGCCCAGGGTACTTTACCATTGAGCTACATTCCCAGCTTTTTCAAACAATTTTATCTTTTTAAAAATTTGAGACAGGGTCTCGGTAAGTGCAGAGGGCCTTGCTAAGTTGCTGAGGCTGGCCTTGAACTTGTGATCTTCCTGTCTCAGTCTCCTCAGTTGCTGATTTCTTCTTTTAAAAAGAAAAGGAAGACAAAAATACTTGGGGGAAAAATGTAGGAAAAAGTGCTGAATTTTGTAAAATCSATAGCTATTCATATCTAGATCAAATGATGGTGAGTATTTCTTTTCCTCTGCAATATAGTTAAAGGTATGTATGTGTATGTGGTGATGTAATATTCAGTTTCAAAACTTTTAGTGGTTCAGAGTCTGGCACTGCAGTGAACACTCTCTAAGCCCTTTGAGAAAAGCTATTCTTAATGTAAGCATCATCCTGCAAAGGTACCAAAATAGCACAAAACAAGAATTAGTGCATCTGTGTTTAGATATTATTAATATTCCTTTTCCTATAATAAGTGCTTTGGATGAACAGAAATTAAACTGACATTTATCTTTCTATTTCCTAGACAAAATTATGTTTTCAAAATGTTCTAACCCAGTTTTTGGTGGTTACCATATCTGCTTTTCAATCCTAAAGTCAGCAATGATGTTGTTAGTGTGTGTTAGCATCGMAATTACTTTCAGATTATTTTGGTAGAATTACTTCTATGGTAAAAGCTTGTGAAAAATATTACATATTCATGAAACTCTTGAGTTATGTTCTGAGATGCTATTTTCTTACCATATTGTACCAGGCACTGACAATACATTTCTCCTCCATCTCTCTTTGACTCTTCGTTTTCTCGTATTCTTTCTGAAGCACAAGCATAGGTAAACATGTAAAGATATAAAATAATTCAATATAAACAGAATACTTACAATTAATTGTCTAAATCCACAGACACAATTGCACACTTCCAGAAAATAATTTAAAAAATCAGCTCTTTTTTTATAAATACTTTTTTTTTAGTTGTAGGTGGACATAATACCTTAATTTTGTTTATTTATATGTGGTGCTGAGGACAGAACCCAGGGCCCCACATGTGCTAGGCAAGAGCTCTACTGATGAGTCACAACCCCAGCCCCACCCCCAAAAAATCAGCTTTTTATTGCACAGTACAGGACTACCTCCAATGAGTGAAATAGTCGGTCTCTTTCCTGCAGTTGATTTTTAAGAGCTTGTATTTCTGGTGCTGCTCCTTGATTCTGTTTAGGATCTAAAGTACGGATAACCTGCAAAATGTATTAAAAGAAAAATGTAAAAGTTTTAAGTGACTGTAACATCTAAAAAAGCAACTATTAAAAAAAATCAAAATAAATACTCAATGTACATATCTTTAGATTAAAAATATCATCCTACATGATCACAATAGTATTATCATCTAAGAAAATTAACAATTCTATAAGACTGTTACTGTTGATCACAATACACATTTCCATACTGTATCCAAAATGTCCCTTAAAAGTGACTCATCTGCTCCCAATCCAGGATTTAAAGATTATTGTACCGCACCTGGAAGTTCTGCAGGGTTTTAAAATCAGAACAGTATCTCACACTCCACTGCATGTTTTTGTCTTTCATGACCCTGACTTTTATCCCCAATTCTAGATTGACCCAATGGTAATGTTATTTAGCTTGTTTTGATAACCACTTTCCTCTATGCTGGAAGTCTAGAAGATTGCTTAGGTTCTAGTTAAACATTATGGACAATGATACACTATCAGGATGCACCAAAGATTGGATGTAGCACCAAGTGTTCTTTTTATTTAAAATACAAAAATACATAAAATATATTTTAGTTGTGGATGAACACAATACCTTTTATTTATTTTTATGTGGTGCTGAGGATCGAACCTAGTACCTTACACACCAAGCCACAACCCCAGCCCACCATGTGTTCTTAGTTTTGAAAATTGTTTAAGATAGTGACTGTTATTTCTTTCATACATAAGGCACGTTTCTTCTTGATAATTAGTAATTAATCTGTGGAATGAAATATTTTGATCATTACTTCTTGGTCAGGCTCTTTGATAAAAGATTTTGTTCTGATAAYTCTATGCGACCAGTCAGCATACTTTACTATATTTGAAGATTTCAGAGAATCATGATCAAAAAGTACTTACACTTTTGGCTTTCTCTAAATATTTTTTATATCGTTCTTCCATTTGCTTCATTTCCTCTTCTTTCTTCCGTAATGCTTCTTGTAATTCTTCAATTTTTAAGGCTGCAGATGAGATAGTGGGGAAAAAAGTTTAGATTATAACAACTTTAAAAATATTTTAATGGATAAAATTAATAACTAGTAACTTTGAGGAACTGTTTAGTCTATGCTTATACATGATTTTCTTTAAAAAAATTCATACACATATCATATATAGATGTGTGTGTGCATACACACATATATAAATAAATCTCAGAAAGATTTTATTTATTTATTTTTTAGTTGTAGTTGGACAATACCTTTATTTTATTTATTTATTTTTATGTGGTGCTTAGGATTGAACCCATGACCTCGTATGTGCTAGGCGAGGGATCTCCTGCTGAGCCACAACCCTAGCCATGCTTTTATTTTTTATTAGCACACTATAGTTGTGAGGTTCATTTTGACCAAATCACCCATGCTTAGAATTTCCTCTACACTCCTGATCTTTCAATCATTACTTTACTTTTTATTAGTGCTTTCTACATATATTAAAGTTGAAATTCCTTGTGGTATATTTATATATGCATATAAATAATTTTGTTAAATTCATTTTGCATTTCCTCCCTTTTCCTATCCCTTCTCCTTCCTCTTTGATCTCCTTCTTCTACTCAACTGATTTTCCCTATGTCTTTATGACATTTGATCYGGTCACCCCCCTCATCCCCACCTTCTTTCCCTCATTTTTTTATTCTAGCTTCCATATTCTTCTTTATGGCTGAGTAAAACTCCATTATGCCACATTTTATTAATCTATTAATCTATTGATAGGCATCTGGGCTGATTCCATAATTTGGCTGTTGTGAATTGTACTGCTTTACATGTACATATATTGTATATATTATACTGCTGTATGTGGCTATAGCACTATGATAAGCTGATTTTATCTTTTTAAAAATTTTTTAATATTTATTTTTTAGTTGTACATAATACCTTTATTTTTATGTGGTGCTGAGGATCGAACCCAGGGCYTCACTCATGCTAGGCAAGCATTCTACCGCTAAGCAACTCCCCCGACCCCATGATTTTATCTCTTTTGAATAAACATCAAGGAGTGGGATAGCTGTGTCATATGGTGGTTCCATTCCTAGTTTCAAAAAGCTTTTCTTGTAAATAAACAAGAACTCCAGTATGGTAGGTACATAAATCAAAAAGTGCCCGTTGATGGATGAATGAATAAACAAAACTTGGTATATTCATACTATGTAATAATAGCCTAATTCTGATACAAGCTACAACATGAAGACAACATAATATGAAATAAGCCAGACATGAAAGAATAAATATGATGATTTTACTTTTTTTAAAAAGCAAAGAACCAAATGCTGAATGTTTTCTGATTTAAGGATGCTGATTCACAATGTGGTTTGTGGGGGAGGGAATGGAAGAATTAGATGAACTAATATGGCAAAGAGGAGGGAGGGAAAGGGAGGGGACATGGGGTAGGAAAGATGGTGGAATGAGATGGACATCATTACTCTAGGTACATGTATGAAGACACAAATGCAGTGACTCTACTTTGTATACAACCATTGATATGAAAAACTGTGCTCTATATGTATAATATGAATTGTAATGCATTCTGYTATCATATGTAACAAATTAAAATTTAAAAAGATCAAAAAAAGAAAAAGTAAATGTCCTCTCACCTCCATAAAAAAGAATAAAGACAAGCTATCTATATGTAAATATATCAATGAAAGCACAAGTTTGGCTAACTTACATGCAACTGCACTCAATAAAAATTTTCAACTTTACCTAATATTCATTAGAATACTTAGCTAAGGAAAAGTTCAAAAGTAGTTGGGGGTGGGAATGATAGTAGAATGAATCAAACATTATTACATTATGTGCATACAGATTACATGACCTGTGTAACTACATCATGTACAACCAGACAAATGAGAAGCTATACTCCATTTATGTATGATGTGTCAAAATGCATTCTAACATCATTAATAACTACTTAAATATATATATCATAAAGAAAAAAGTGTAATTAGTAATTTAGGAAGTAAAGTTGACATAATCTTTCTATAAATAGGGGAAATTATTTAATTGCAAGAATAGGCAATACAGCCTATTTATAAAAGAAACAAGTTATAAAAACTCAGTATCACTGGGGTAGTATATGGGTGAAGTTAATTAGAAAAAACTCACAGCTATTGTTAAATCTTGGCTCAAGATCTTCAATAATGGCTCTCTTCTTTTGCAATTCATTATTAGCTTCATGAAGCTTCTCTCTGCAACAAAATATGTGACACTGTATAAACTATTACTGTTTCTGTGTTTATTTGCTTTAAAGATTTATATTCTTTATACTTGTAATATATTTGCATTGCTCACAAGTGCTAGGAAACAAAGATGAAAAGATTAAATCAACATGAATTAATATCTTACAACTCAGTAAAAAGTAAAACAAAAAATTCCTTTTTTCATTTAAAATAATCATTTGTTTTACAAAAATGTGTATAAGAGGATAAAGAGCTTTATTTTTCTAGGAATGTGATATTGAAAAAATTAACTTAAAATTTGCAGTGATTTTGCAATGAAAAACCTTATTATAAAAAAAGTGAATTTCTAGGGCTGGGGATGTGGCTCAAGCGGTAGCGCGCTCGCCTGGCATGCGTGCAGCCCGGGTTCGATCCTCAGCACCACATACCAACAAAGATGTTGTGTCAGCCGAGAACTAAAAAATAAATATTAAAAAAAATATTCTCTCTCTCTCTCTCTCTCCCACTCTCTCTTTAAAAAAAAAAAAGTGAATTTCTAAAAAAAAAAATAAGGATTAACAGAAAGAATGCTACACACAATAGAAAAGAATGAAATCATATGAATAGATCTCACAGAATAATAATAAACAAAGGATGTCAAAGCATCTAAGGTTAATACTGCATCATGTCATTTTTGTGAAATTCAGAGGTGTCAAAATGAAAGGGCTGGGTATAGTAGCACATGCCTGTAATCCCAGAAACTTGGAAGGCTGAGGCAGGAATATTTTAAATCTGAGGACAGCCTGGGCAACTCACAGAGACCCTGTCTCAAAATAAAATATAAAGGCCTGGGATGTAGTTCAGTGGTAGAAGCCCTGGGTTTAATCCCAGAACTACAAAACAAACAAACCAACAAAAAAACAAACCAAACCAAACCAAACCAAAAACCTAAAGAAGGTGATAAAGATCAGCATTATGGCTAGTTTGTTAATGTAACCAATCAACAGAGAGAGAGAATGCAGTAAATTCTTAGGTGGTTGAAAGCATTCTATATATTGATAAGACTTATCCTCACCTGTATATAAACATTTTTCAAACTGTACACTTAGGATCTTAGTATATGTATATTTCACTATATATAGGTTATATTCTAGTACAAAAGAATTAACAYAAAAAGCAAGTTTTTACCTAGTATTTGTATATATTTGTAGACCATGTGTAATTCTCCCTTTATAGTATTTAGTGTGGCACTATGTAATATGAATAGGAAAAAAAAGGCTGCAAAAATTGGAAGACACAGAAAATCACTGATAAAAACTGTGTATTTTGTTATGACTATTTCTGATATTTTCCACACACAATATTTTAATAAAGCTTTTCTTTTTCAATCATCAGCTTTTTGAAGCCACATCATATACAATAAAAATATGCACCGTTTAAAGAATTAAAAAACTAAAACTAAGCTCAGTGAACTGTTATCAGGTTAACAACCCCAAATCATCCAAAACCTTTAGAAGTCATGTGCACTTTATCTCCTTTCCAGAGGTAACCAAAGTCCAGAATTGTAATCACTCTCATTATTTTCATTATGGTTTTATTGCCTTTGTGATAGTCCTAAGCAACATATTGCTTATTTTGGTCAATTTTTTTTTACTTTATACATTAATCGTATATTGTTCTGAATTTTTAGACCTTTTACTGAGATTTTACTGAGTTGATGTCAGCCCCAGTTTACACCTTTTTACTGCTCTAACAGTATTCTATTGTTTGAATATATCTCATTTTATAATTTTCCAATTGGTGGACATTTGTATTGTTTCTACTTTTCTGTGAATACAAGTAATATTTATTCTTCCATGATTTTCATCTACATGTCTCCTGATACACATGGACAACATCATATCTAGGAATGTATGTATATATAGAATATACATGTATATGTAGAATGTTATGTATATAGTGGAACTGATGTCAAAGAATAAGTACACGTTCAAGTTTACCAAGTGACTAATGAGCACTCCTACAGCAGTGAATGAAAATTATCACTTGAATCAAACTGTGAAATATGATATATTAAGAACTATGTAATGTTTTGAACGACCAACAATAAAAAAAAAAAAGAAAATTATCATTGCTTAGTATCTTTAGCAATACTATATCTAATCTAAAAATTTTCACTAATTTGATTTGGTGTTTAAAATGGTCTCTACTGTATAGTTTTTAATTGTACGACATGGAYTCTCTTTTGACACACATAGAGGCCTTGTGGTGCGTTGAACTGTTTTACCCAAAAAGATAAGCTGAAGTTCTAATGCCTACTACTGTGAATGTTATATTATTTGGAAACTGGCTTTTGGTAGACTTAATTAGTTAAGGAGAGGGTCATATTGAATGAGAGTGAGCCCTAAATTGAATCCTCAGTGTYCTTATAGGGGGATTATGTAAAGACAAACATACTGTAATCCCTCCTCCTCTGTGGTTTTGCTTTCTGTGATTTCAGTTTCCTACAGTCAACTGTAGTATGAAAGTATTAAATGGAAAATTTATGTTTTAAACTACATGTTGTATTGAGTAGTGGTCCTGCTATGTCCTGCCTGGCAAGTGAATTGTCTCACTTTGTCCAGTGTATCCACACTGTATATGATATCCAGCTATTAGTCACTTGGTAACCATCTTGATTATTAGATCCACTGAAAYTGCAGCAGTGTAATGATATAATTGTTCTATTTTATTATTCAATATTGTTGTTAACTTCTTATTGGGCCTAATTTACTAATTAAACTTATCATAGGTATGTATATTTTTTTTAAAAATAATATATACATGTATATATTTAAAAAATAATACCAGAACTATTTGCAGTTTCAGTCATTCACTAGAGCTCTTGGAGGGTATTCCCCTCAGGATGAGGGAATTACAGAGACAAACTACAGAGAAAAGAGTATCCTATGCAGAGAGAAATTAAAGTGATATATCCACAACCTAAGGAGCACCAAGGATAGCTATGAGTAGCTAGAAGACAGGCAAGGAAGAGATTCCCCCCTTAGAACCTCTCGAAGGAACCAATCTGCTGACAACCCTGACTTAATATGTGTAGTCTCTCTAAACTGTGAGAAATAAATTTTTGTTGTTTTAATCCATTCAGTTTGCACTAATTTTTTATGGCAGCCATTTTCACTAATACATTCTTTCTTTTTTTTTTTCTTCTAATACATCCTTTCTGATGAAGTATTTTACTTTGTAAATGAATGAATGCAGAACAATGATTAGAGACTAGTTTTATGAACTGATTAGGTATTCCAGTTTTAGCCATAAAGGAAGAGGAATTTTAAAAAAATAATCTAGTACTAAATTCTCATTATAGGTAATCTCACAAAGGCTGAGAAGTAACATTTTTTTGTTCTTCTAGTCATTATAAATCTGCCTATTCTTAGACTTTCTAACAAATCTCAGTTGCTAAGAGTATCCCACACTAAAACAAACCAAAATTGGGGTAACATGAGCTAAATTTCCAGACAACAGACTTTCTTTCCAATCATAGTAGAAAATTATCTCTGCCATTCTGGATATCCAGTTTAGCATAGTGAAACATTGTAATACTCCAATAGGCTACCAATTCATGGTCACCCTATATTCAATGTTTGTAAGGAGTTTTGTTAGAAAGGATTAAAGTTGTTTCTGGGTATAAGAAATATTATGAAATATCCCTAACATGGCCAATATCAGATAAATCTGGATGAAGATTTCTTCTGTATGAGAAAACAAAATGTTAATATTTTAACATTTATTCTTCTTTTAGATTAAAAAGTCCTACTTAGAAGCCAAGTGCTGTAGTGCACATCTATAATACCAGTGACTTTGGAGGCTGAGGCAGGAGGACTGCAAGTTCTAGGCCAGCTTCAAAAAAGTAAAAAGGGGGAGGGGCTGGGGATATAGCTCAGTGTTACCACTCAAGTACTATCTATGGTACTTGAGAGCGGGTAGGGAGGAGACCTACTTAGATATAATGTCAAGTTTTAGACGTAAATTCAAAGAGGGGCTGGGAATGTGGCTCAGGCGGTAGCGCGCTCATCTGGCATGCGTGCGGCCTGGGTTCAATCCTCAGCACCACATACCAACAAAGATGTTGTGTCCGTCGAGAACTAAAAAAAAAAAATAAATATTAAAAATTCTCTCTCTCTCTCTCTCTCTCTCTCTCTTTAAAAAATAAATAAATAAATAAAAATTTTAAAAAATTTACTTAAAAAGAAATATTTGGCTGGTCATACTTCAGAAGTAGAAACTGCAGCCTTTGGCCTGAACTCAGCTGGCCGCCTCTCTTTATGTATGAAGTTTTATTGGAGCACAGTCACAACCACTAGTTAAGTATTGTCCATGGCTGTTTTCAAGTTATAAACACATAGCTGAGTGGCTACGACAAGAGACCAGGACTTACACAGCCTAAGGTAATTGCTATCTTGCCATTCACAGAAAAGTGTTCTGACCCTTGATTTAGTGTCTCATACTCCAAATTATGATTGTAAATATCATAATGAAACTAYAAAAGCCTTAAGTCTCATAGGTAAAAATAGTTCTAATGCAGTCACTATTTTGACTTGAGGATCTGGGTGGAGATAAACTTGTAAACACTACTAACATGTTAAAAGAATTTTCTGTATCTTCAAGGATCACTTGTGCTATTGTCTAGAACTTCTGCATCCCCCAAAACGAAGTACTTTTGTTCCACAATATAATGAATTGCAATAGCATTTATACTTACAGATGTTCTTCAAGCTTCTTTTTTAGAAGAACTGACTGAAAATGAAAATAAAAATTAGTGTAGTACTTTAACAAATTATTTTTAAAAAATTAACAGTAGTAACTAACTTTGAGTGAACCCTCAGTAATTTCTTTGACCGAGAGCTCAAAACATAATATGCCAAGTTTAATTCTGTTTAATAAAGAGAGAAAAGCAATATGTGATAACAGTAAGTATAAACACCCAGAAACTGTATCTGAATCCTCTATCTGCAGTCAAGTAAATGACTACAAATATTCCTGACTGACTCAATATACAGGTAGGACTTTAATAATAAGATCTTTCCCAATAACTTTTTATCTGTTATATTGTTTCCCTTCTACCACAATGAAGTCTCTGATCAATTCCCATACTTTCTGACTTGTGAATATGCAGAGGCTGCATATAATTTATGCATTGGTATGAGAAGTATAAAGGATGATAGTATGTACAGATTTAAATATGTTGGAGAATTCAGCTTTTGTATTTTTTTTTTTWAA